GGGGCCGACGCCGGCGACCCGGGGGGAGGGCTCTGCCACGGACCTGCTCAACCTTCTGGTTTCTAGAACAAAACGAAGCTTTGATCCTCAAAGAGCCGTTTCGTGTGCTGCCTTCGTGAGGGACCCCGCCGGGGGCACGCTCGCGACGTCACGGGCCTGGGCCCCAGGGCGCCCGCTGCTGCACACTCCCGGGCCCGTGGTGCTGCCGCACGGGCACCTGCTGGGTTTGGTTTTTTGTGTGTCTGTACTTTTCCTTTCCCAGGATGCTGTCACTGAAATCAGCGCTCTATGTCTGACCCTCAGACCGGCTTCTTCACCTAGTGAGAGTCTCGTACGGTTCCTCCATGTCTTTCGTGGCTACACGGCTCCTTTCCTTTCAGAGCCGACGGACACCCCACCGCCCGGCTGCTCCTCAGCCTTGCAGCCGCCAAAGGCATCTCGGTTGCTTCCAGGTTTGGGGAACGACGAAGAAGGCTATAAACATGTGTGTGCAGGTGCCGTGTGGACGTGAAGCTTCAGGTCACGCAGTGACCCCCCTCCAGCCTGCCCGGGTCTCCCTACAGTCTCCAACTGTGCTCCTGGGGCCCAGGGCCAAGCTCAGTGTGGGGGCGGGGGTGGTCCTGCCTCTGCCGTCTGGGGGTTCTATTAGCTGTGGTGCTATTGTGGGGTTTACCGGCAGGGGGTGCACCAGGCAGGTTCACGGGGGAGCAAGCCCGCTAGCAACACCTGTCCCGGAACAGGCCAACAGGACTGCGGTTTCACAGAAATAAGAGCAGAAAACAGCTTAGCGAGCTCCGTGATTCACACTTCCAGAAAAGGTGATAAATACCTCAATAGGGCCCTTGCGGCTGCTGCTGGTGCTCCCCAACAGAGGACACAGCCTGTCCTCGGGACCCCCGACACCCAGGGCACACGGGGGGTGGCGTGGGGGCCCGGACGACGGCAGTCTCCTTCCTAGCTCCTTTCCCGCGGGATGAGGGGCCGCCCTGGCCCAGGGCGCAGCCTGCTGGACCCACCCAGTGCCTTCTTTTCATGCACCCACATCTCCAGTGCCCGCGGGCATGTCTGACTACTGGCCGTCCATTGACAGCAACGCGGGTTCTCGTTCTAAATCTACGTGTTGGAGTTAAAACATGAAAACACGGCCAGGCAAGTCTGAGAAGAGCTACGCAGAGAACCCCAAGTGCGGAGGGCGAGCGGGGCTGGGGCCGGGCAGTGCCGCCCCCGGCCTGGCTCTCCCTGGGAGCGCTGGGCTCCATCCTGCCCCCTCCGGCCTGCCGGCCTGCCTGGCCCGGCCCCCTGCAGGGTCGTGAGCTATGGCCCCCCACCCCAACAAGCTCAACACAGCACCTCCCCCCCCAGTGAGCCTCCCCACAGCCCCCGAGACCCAGCACAGGCCCCTCAGGGCGCCTGCGGCCAACACTCCCCGGGCCGGGCCCAGCGAGCCCTGCTCCGGCAGGGGCCTGCTCGGGTGCTGGAGGGGGCCTGTGTGGCCGAGCCCGGGAAGCTCACCTCGGAGGTTCTTGACGAAGTCCTCCAGCTTCATCTTGCGCTCGGGCTTGACATTGGGGCTGTACATGTCCGTGTTGAGCAGGATGATGGCGAAGGCCAGGATGAAGATGGTGTCTGGGTTCCGGAACTGCCGCACCACCCCGGGGTTGCAGATGCAGTACCGCTGGCTGTGCCGGGGAGAGAGGCACGGTCAGGGCAGGGGTGGGTCGGCCGGCCCCTCAGCCCCGGCAGAATGGCTCTGAGGGCCTCAGTTTCTGCATCTGGTCAATGGGGACACTCCGTTCAGCAGAGTAGGCCCTGCCCACCCACCCACCATTCTTACTTTAGTTGTGAGCCCCAAGCAGCACAGGGCACGGGGCTGCTCAGCAGCAGGCCGCGCTCCCTATCCTCCCCAGAGCCCGGCTGGCCACCGACTTAGCTCTGGTCACCTTGAAAGGCACTTTCTGTGCTCGCCCCCTGCCCGCAACCAGGAACAATGGACGCTGGACGTGCTACCTGGGACCTTGAGAGGACAGGAGAGCAGGCTCCACACCAGCTCAGAGAAACTTCTGTCCTGTTTTGGCCAGGGCGAGGGGGGCCTGGTTACGGCAGCACCCTGCCTCACCTCACTGTCCCTACTGCCTTGATTATACCTCCTGCCCCCCACTCTGAAGGGGCTGCCTTTACTGGTAGTGGGGAGAGCAGAGATGGAGGGGGAGGGGCACCGGGGCTGGCGGCAGCAGTCAGAGCGTAGATGACGTGGGATCCCACTCTGTGTTCTCCATTAGTTGCTGCCTCCTCCAGGAAGCCCTCCTGGAAGGACGTAACTAATACTTCCCTCCCGGAGCCTGGGGCTTCTCTTGTGTCCTTGTTCCTCCTCGGCCCCACCACCAGAGCTGTGCCCAGAGGCAGCTCGGCTGCCGACGGGCTGTCTCCCCCCCTAGCAAGGAGCAGAGCTCCTGCACAGCTGGTGGGACTTGGTTCTGGGAGGAACAACGGTGCAGTGACAGCCACCCACTGCCATGCCAGGCACTGGGCTCAGTGGTTCAGTCTTTCTGCACTCTCTAGGGCGGTGCTCGTTAGCCCAGCTCTCCAGGCGGGGAAGGAGGCACAGAGAAGTTAAGTAACAGCACAGGTCACACGGGTGCAGGGGGTGTTAGAACCAGGCGTCTGGCCCTGTGGCCCTAGTGAACGAGCAGCTGGATGACACACGTGGGCCGTGAAAGAACGAAGGGCAGATGACGGCCAGTGAGACGGGGAGGAGACAGCCTGTTCGAGACCCGGCTCTTACACTAGCCAGCACAGCGCCTGCACGGGCCCCGGTGCGCTCACAGCCCCCCGGACCTGCCGTGGCCCCGACCTGACCTGAAGGCCTCGATGAGCCGCTCCACCTTCTGGGCCTCCCCCTGGACCCGGATGTGCGCCTGGAACTTCCTGAGTGCTTCGTCCAACTCCATGGCCGAGAAGTCCATCTCGTCTACCACGCAGCTGAAACAGGGGCAAAAGGCTTGCGTCAGCACCCACGGCCCACCCACCTCTGCTGGGGGGTGGGGGGGGGGGGC